GTCAGGAGGAACAGACCAGCTCTGCTCGGGGAACAGAAGAACATCCCCCAAGAACATGAGACTCTCCGCCGGCCCAACTCAAGAACATTCGTGGGGAAACCGAAAGGTACCGATACCGCTACTCCGCCACTCCCCAGACCTATCCCAGGGTGCATTCCGACTAGGATTTCGAGGCAAATCCAGCGGTGGCGACGAGGGCCTCCCAGGAGGCCCGAAATAGGAGAAAACGAGGGAAGGGTAGCGGTCTGGGTACCTTTCCCTCCTTCGAATTCGAGGGTTCCATCCCCCAGGATGCACAAGAACATTCAGCAGGCACGAGGAACACTTGGGCACCCTCCCCGAACCGACCTCGATCTTACACCTCGGTTCGACCCTACGGCACCCGCGACCCGACCGGCCCCCGCGGCGTGCTTCCGCAGGCGCGGGCCACCCTCGAGGAGTTGGCCTCCGCGCGCCCCGCTCCCTCCCAGGGGCGCCCAACTTCGCGCTTCGCGCTGCGGGAACAGCTTCGCGCTCTTGCGCCGCCCCCCGATGGATTTGGACGCCCGAAATGGGCACGGAAAGAATGGGTACAATGCCCAACAACAAACACTGCCCCAAACCAACAGCGGCCGCTGTTGGCCAGGCGGCCTTCTGTCTCGAATGGACACAGGCCGCGGCGGACAGCGTGTCCTGTTCAAAATGAGCAGGAAATGCTGTTGAGCATTGTACCCTTTCTTTCCGTACCCATGTCGGTCGTCCCGAAGGAAAGAGAACAGGACGGGGAGGGATCGAAACCGAACCGCGAGGCGCGAAGCGCCAGGCGCGAGAATCGCTTCGCGCCCTCGGGGGCGCCCTTGGGCCCGGCGCCCGCGGCCATGGACGGGCCCCCGCGGCGTGCCTCCACAGGCGCGGGCCACCCCCGAGGAACTGGCCACCGCGCGCCCTGCGCCCTCCCGCCCGGGCGAGCCCCTGCCGAGACGCAGGTGAGGGCGGCGTCGACGTCGACGTCGACGTCGACGTCGACGTCGACGACGACGACGACGTCGACGACGACGGCGATGACTGCGACGACGACGACGACGTTGACGACGACGACGACGACGACATCGACGACTGCGACGACGACGACGACGACGACGACGACGACGACGGCGGCGATGACTGCGACGACGGCGATGATGACGACGACGACTGCGATGACGGCGACGACGACGAGTGTCGGCGTTGGGGCGGGCGGGGCACGATGACGCATCAAGGCTCCGCGGCCGCTCGAAGGCGCTCCGGGGCGGGGCGGCGAGAGCAGTGGTGGAGGAGGAGGAGGAGGAGGAGGAGGAGGACGAGGAGGAGGAGGAGGAGGAGGAGGAGGGGAGGAGGAGGAGGAGGAGGAGGGGGAGGAGGAGGAGAGGATGGAGAGGCAGGGGGGTGAAGGGGAGGGGGTGGACGGGGGGGATTGGGGGATGGGGGAGGGAGGAGGAGGAGGAGGAGGAGGGAGGAAGAGGAGGAAGAGGAGGAGGGGGGAGGAGGAGGAGGAAGAGAGGATGAGGAGGAGGAGGAGAGGAGGAGGAGGAGGAGGAGGGGGAGGGGGAGGGGGAGGGGGAGGAGGAGAGGAGGAGGGGAGGGGGGAGGGGGGGAGGAGGGCAAGGCGAGGGACCAGTGGGATGATGATGAGAATGACGATGCTGATAATGTTAAAAGTGTTGATGATGATGCTGATGATGCTGATGCTGGCGATGACGATGCTGATGATGATACTGGTGTTGATGCAAATCCTGAGAATAATGCTGGTGATGGTGATAATGACGATGATGATGATTGTGGTGAAGAGGATGTCGATGCTGATGTTGGTGACGGCGACGACGACGATGATGATGATGCTGATCATGCTTATGATTATGATGGCGATGCTGATGAGGATGGGGAGGAGAAAGAGGAGAAGGAGGAGGAGGAGGATATCCCTGGGCGAAGACAAGCTGGGTTAGCCGACCTGACTCGATGGGTGGCATACCTGTGTGGCTTCACATTCGTTTACGCACTGTTACTAATGGGCCAATCGCACGGCCACCCCCTGAAACCCGCAAGGGGTAACGAGAAGGGGGGGGGAAGGAGAATGAGGAGGAGAAGGAGGAGGAGGAGGAGGAGGAGGACTGACCGACTGACTGTCTCTGACTCGGGTCCAACGTGTCGTCGCGACTTATGCTGCTACTCTACACCTGGAGCACGCACCTGTCTACCTGACTTCTGGACATGTCTGGAGCTGGGCCCCTCACTCGCGCCAAAGGGGCGCACGCGTCAACAAACGCACTGGCTCAGTGAGCAAGCCACTCCCGCGCTCGTCGGGCTAGCCGCTCACGAGCACTCGGGTGTTATGGCTCTTGAGATGCACCGCGCTTCGGTTTGCCTCTGCGGCGCGATGGAGGGCGCGGCGGAGGATCGGGTCGGGGAGTGAAGAGACGGGGGTCGAGATTGGTCGGGAACATTGCAGCCGGCTGGCTAGGCTGACGAGGGGCCAGCTGTCCTGAGGCCAGCAGCATCGAGGAGCGGGTGCTATCACGGAGCGCTGGCGGTGCCGAGGTGGCTGGAACTCTCTCCAACTCGGCAGGCGCCAATCTGAGTCCCTGAGTTGGGTCTGGAACCTGATCGCCATTATCAGTGATTTCCTCTGGGATGATCGGCGTCAGAAACTCACCACTCAACTCTGCTGATAAACGAGCTTCGTGAGCCCTCTCTGTAGAGGGCCTCGGGGCGCGCTCCCGAGACGGCGCTGGCCCCCCTTCCGCCTTGATCTTTTTCGCCAGCGCCTCGCGCGCGCTCTCCACGTCGGGCACGCGCAAGTCGAAAGAACAGATCAGCCGCGCTTTCTCATTGCTCCGTTTGGGCTGCTTGTTCACTTTCGCCTGGTCGTGTTTCACGCGGGCCCCTAGCAACTCTGGGTCGGGCTTGCGCGCCACCTGCTGCCAGAACTGGCCCAGGATGGCCATGTCCTCGGGCGGCGCCGCGCCCTTGATGCCCTTGATCACGGCCTGCAATGGCGACCGAGTGCGGGGGGCCCAGCGCCGCGAGGTCGACCGACGAGACGGGGGCGAAGCGTTTCTTGAGCTGCGTGGCGTCCTCGTCGTAGCTCTTGCCGCCTCCACCGACAGGGTCGCCATGGGCATGTCCGCGTCGAGCTCCCAGCACTCGTAGCCGCCGCTTTCGGACCCTCCGCGTCCTTGGCCGCGTTCATCGTGAGCTTGGCCGTCATCGCGGCGACCCCCTCGAGGCGCCCGTAATCCTTTTTGCCGCCGCCCTTGCCCTTCGTCTCGCGCCCCTTGGCCGCGCGACCTGCGCCCTTGTCCTGGCCGCCCGCGATGGCCGCGAAGACGCGCTTGCCCGCCCAACTGGGCTCCATCTCGAAGTCGTCCGACGCCGCCGCCGCCGCCGCCGCCGCTGCCATGCTGCGCAGGTCCACCTGCACCTGGTTCTCTCACCGAACACCGCGCCACAGTTTAGGCACTCGTCCGCAGGCGTAATAAGCAGCGACGCGACGCGACAGAGCTTGCGCGTGCTATGCCAGCGCGACATCAACGCCCCACGTGCACCGAAGCACACGCCGCACACCTGGCCCCCCACTCGCATGTCCCGTCAGTACTTCCGCACAGGCACGGCCATCTGTAGCAGACGCAGCAAGTCCTGGCACTCCGATTGTCGGCGTAGCGGTGTCGGTAGCTGCGAGCTCACATTTCCATTGGGATATCTCCGAAAGAACTGCCTCTTCCTCTGCAATCTGCCGCAGCTGCCGAGCCCCCCCCCCCGGCCGGGGGGGCCTAAGGGCGGGGCCGCGCGGGCTCCGAAGGCCTGGCGAGGCTCCGCGGGGGGCCGAGGGACTCAAGGGCCTCCTGAAACCCGGGCTCGAAAAAGTTACCAGGCCCGATGTCGGGGCCATTCAGGCGACGGGCAAACATGTCCGTGCGACAGGCCACCTCTAAGGCTTTAGCGATTCTTTCTCCGCCTAGGAGTTGTTCCGCGGGTGGGGCGCGCCGTCTGCGCGCGCCGCCGGCTCGGATACCACGGCAGGCTGCCCAAATAAAGCCGTGAGTGCTTGCTGGCGTAGCATAGGGCCGAGTAGGATTTGTCGGATCCCAGCGGGGCATCGCACGATTGCCTCCATCTGCATCGGTAATGCACGCCAGCGTCGGAGTACCTCGTAGCTCGTGAGTTTCCGAACCTTGCCATCGGTCTGAGAAGTGGTGGCTTTACCACGCATGGCCCTGCGCGCTAGTCCTGCCACCGCCATCGTCAGCGCCCTGTACTCTGCTCTGGTCGGTAAGAAACTCTCAATGCAGCTGGGTCCCGCGTTGGCCACCTGACATAAAAGTGCCGCCCGTTCCCATTTGAATGGCGCCCCCGCCCTGCACCAGACGCCCCCCCCCCCATCTCCCCGCGCGTCCTAAGCATCGCATTAACGCGCAGGTGGGAGCTCTGCCCCATGCGCGTGCACCGCGTGAACGCGAGACCCCTTGTACCGCGCCGATTGTGCCGCGCGCCCTGGCAGTGCGCGTTGTTTAGCGCGCAGTTGTTCTCCACTGCGCCGCGGGGCCTCTCCCCTGAAGCCTGGTCAAATTATCCGGCATGTCGCGGTTCTGTGCCAGACCGAACGCATGATGCTTTTCGTCGAGCACATCATCGGATCTTTTGCCAGCCACCCGATAATTTGAACAAGCCTAGATGCTGCGATTGCTCAAGAAATGGGCACGCGGCCGCGAGCAGGCTGTCTGCTGGCAGGGTTTCGACGCATTCGGGTTTCCGTTGTCACTGGGGGGGGGGGGGGGGGGGACAGGGCAGCGAAGTTGCGCGCCATGAACGGACCCCGACAAGCCCCCCACAACCTGGTCGCATGATCGTCGCCCCCCCCCCCCCGCCCCTGCATGGCACCGCGACAGCGCTCTGCCTGTATCTCTGCCGCCCCACCTCCCACATCTCCCTCTGCAGCAGTTGTTGTGTCGGCGCGTCCATGCTCAGCCAGCTGCCGCTCGCGAAAG